ACCTGCCTGCTAAGCTGCCCTTTTGACATGCTGTACAGGACTGACTGACTGAGTTTGGTTTTACGCCGCTTTTAGCAATATTCCAGCAACATCACGGCGGGGGACACCAGAAATGGGCTTCACATATTGTGCCCATGTGGGGGTTCGAACCCGGGTCTTTGGCGTGACGAGCCAACGCTTTAACCATTAGGCTACCCCACCGCCCCTGCTGTACAGGAGCTGCATGTGTTGATGGGATGGCATGAATTGAGTTTTTCTTTGCAGATAATCTCTAATAAAAATACCCCCAAAGCATCCTTCCATGATGGTAGTGAGAAGCAATTGCCATATAGTGCACTTACTTCGTGTGGGTTGGAAGCTGAGGGAGGTTCTAGCCAACATCTCTGAATGCTCGAAGTATCACCGATCTCATCTAGAAGGATATACAGCTTGTTCAGCTTGACCTGACGAAGTGAATACTAATGCATCGCTTGACCGTGTCACAACTGGTTGGGTCTATTATTGTGAAAGTGTGCACATTTGTCAGTTGATTGTCAACATGTCCCAACAGCTGAGACAAAGTTGCCTTTTGACATCTCATTGTCGAGATATCGTCAGCAATGTCCTAACTTTCTTAAAGAAAGAAGCTACGGACATATTGCAGTTGAACTTGAAATAGAAAAAGTTATAATTGAACTGGGTGTAGAGAGTGATATCGAGAGAGAAACGGATTGTGAAAGTAACTGACATCTGTACGTTGTAAAGTTAGTAAACCAAACATGATAACATTTGACTATAAACAATTTAACTGAAACATGAAATTATTGTTTTTGTCAGAAGTGTTGTTTTCCGGGACAAGTTCTTTAACGAATCCATGTATACATGCTTCGCATGAACGCAACATTAATAACAGTCTCTGCTCCCCTATTTAATGAAGTTAACTCGACCTGCCGTTTGTGCCATTTGACCTCCCGGGTCATGCATATGTAGAGTAGCTCAGGACAAGCTGTAGTTGTTTTGGACACTTACTTCTGCTGTGACATCTCTCATGAACGGGATGAAGAGTCGTCTTAACTTCTGACGTCTGGCGCTCGTCCTGCGTATACTACCCATCAAAAGTTCTGACTCACTTAAAGCATTCACTGTATGTTACGCATATATGTTTGGTTACATCGAAGATGAATTTCTCCACTAACATTGGGGAACCAACTGCAAAATTTATGCAGATGAATTGCACGAGGATCATACAATAAATTGATAAAAAACATGTGCAAATATCGTACATGTGAACAGCTGTGTTGTGGTGTAACATTTTGTTAAAACTTCGCCAATTTTCACTCAGTTTCATCATTTATTTAACCCATGACAATAATCTTTTCATCGTTACGATTTTGTTTTACAATACATCAGTTCATGTGTAAACAGTACCTTTAAACAGTATGGAAAATTGTGCAAAATCTAGTTTAGATGAGTTGACTTAAGTAAGTGGCTACATTTACACTAGTGAGTCTAAACTTTTGATGGGGAGTATAGATAGATGCGTAGAACTCTGACCAGACGCAGTGATAAGTCTTCTTTGTCTTCATTGCCAAGTATTGAAGTTCGATAATGATGAGATGTGAAACTGTTGGTCTGGCTGATTTTTGGCAATAAAACGGAGACCAAGATGGACTGATGCATTGGCACCTTTATCAAATCTGGTGGGGCTGAGGTCTATAGAATGGATCTCTGACATTCTGAGTGGGTTTGGAGCCTTCACCATGGTGATGACAGAGCTGATGGGTACTAAGATTGAGCCAAATCTGGAGATTCTTTAAGGTTGTGAGGTTGTAAATCTGCTGGAATCCCCTTACTTCTGGTAAATTGGTCAAGACTCTTCCACTTATCATCATGCAGGCTTCTGGTTGATCTGCGTAGAGACAGGGAGACTGCTGCTCTGCTGGAATAGCCACGCTTGGTCAAGTTCCTCTTGATCTGCTCCATGTGTACAGATCAAAGACACCCGGATTTCGATGCTTCAGCTGCATGTGAGGATAAGTGAGAAGTTTTGACCAATCTGGGAGTTTTTAGAACCGGATTGCCTACCAGCTGGATGAGTTGGCTGTCCTGGTCATCAATGACTGATTGGACAGTTGAGGGACCCAGTGGTTAATGGTTCGGATAACTGCCTAGCCCCGGTGATTGATATGAAGTAGCTTCTCTTCTGGAGTCCACAGCCCTGCGGTTACACCTGTGTCAAGATGTGCTCCCCAACCCTGTAGAGACGTATCTGCATACAGAAGCAGATTGAAGCTTTACTCGCTCAGAAGGTCCCTGTGCAGACCTTCGATTTCAGCGTCCACCATTGGAGATACTGTACTAGGTGATGCGGTAATTGTTGTCTGAAGTCCGTCTGGTCCAGGAGTGAGGTTAGAAACCTCTGGATGGGTCGTAGTTGCAATCTGCCTCTCTTCATGAGTGATTGGGCTGACGTTGGGCAGCAATTGTAGGGTGAAATTCAACTGACGTTTGAGTATAACGACTTGTTGAAGTGCTTTAATGCCATTGTTTAAGTAGAAGGTGCATCAAATTACCCTGTTGTGCAGGGAGCTCACGATGGGCTTGGTTTCCTGTGTGAATAACCACAGGCTATGAAAATGCCAAACTGTAGAACCTTCCACTGGCATTTTTGATGGTTGAACACGAACCGTAGATACTTCCTGGACCCTGGGTGGATTGGCATATGCAGATATATGCATCCCTTAAATCTATGCTTGCCAGAAAGTTGTTCTCTCTTATCACCTGCTTCAGGTGTAGAAGGTGGAAAACTTCTCTGTCTTCAGTAAGTAATCGTTGTTGAACTTCTTCATATTACTCTGGATTTTCTGATAGATTGTTCTTGAATCAAGAAAATGGGGGAACAGAACCCCGGGACGAGTGAGGTATAACTTCTATTGCTTCTTTGGATAGAAGTGACTCTATCGCATCTGTGAGCATGGGTTATTGGGTTTCTATGTGATGAATCTGCAGAAGATAGAGTGGAGCGGTGACGTCGTGTTCACCAGAATGGTATATCTATTCCAGAAGATTTTTGTGATGAATGGGTCTTCCAGTAGGTCACAGTTTGGCCAATATTTCTTTGTCTACGTAGTAGGTGAGTCCCACCGATTCTGAGCAGATCTTGTCGGAGATAGACTCATGGTACTTCAGCCGGTTGATCATGAACAAAAGCATAATGTTCTTTGTCAGACTGGATATTTGGAAGTGTGATATCATCGCCTTGTTGATGGTTCTGGCCCAGGAAGACTCCTCTGATAATAGTATCAAGCTGAGCCGTGCATTCTGGTAGCTTTGGTTCTTGATGACTTGCAAATTAAAGTTGCTCCAGTTGGTGGTAAGGACGACCCTTCGATGGGAAAGCTATGGGTAACCCGTCTGCAATCCAAGTTGTGTGTTTTTTCTGTTGAAGGGGAACACACGCACTTGATTTTCCACTACTATTCGGAAATGAGATGAGATAAGCAATTAGTATGAGTCAGGATAAGATAACATTTGCAAGTTTGCACTAAATTAATTGTTATTTACCATTAAAAAATAAAGCCAATTAAGTATGATTTGCACCGGAACAAATGACAGCTCCCTTGCGAAAGACAATCTGAAGTATCTCCCCTGCTTGCCCTTGAGCCATGAAGTTTGGGAATAATCACATAGATTTTGATTGTTAAACATATCCACGACTTTTTTAATTGTGATGCATTTCTTTGGCTACTTATTATGTTCATTTTCAGCCAATTTTAATCCGATAAATCCCAAGCATACACACATTTTCTCGAAGAATTCAAAGGTCCAAAAAGCTATCTGCTATCGGCCATTTTGGGAAGAGGGAATGTTTATTGTTTCGAAATGTTTTGTATTATTCTAGAATTATGTATTTCTTGTGTTTTCATGGACCTGTTAATCACTATTTAAGAAAATTATTGGTATGTAATAAATGGCAATATTAAAGATTAAAGGTTAAACGCTGAAATAGTATGTCATCGTTTATGTACTGCGCATGCACACAAGATGCAAAATTTGAGGTGCCTCTATATCTAAAATTATTTCAGATATCTTTTTTATATGATGACTAATTTGGTGCTTTTATCAACAAATGCACAATTCTTAATAAAAGATCTTATGAAAATTTGATCTTAGCCGCTCCACTATTCTGACTGTATGAACAAGCATAGTCGTCGTCAATTTCAGTTTTCTGATTTCTGCCATGAAACCTTGCCAGCCCTGTGATACTTAGAAACGGCCATGGCGAGCATGATAGGTGGTGGATAGGGGTTTAGTGCTGGAGTTTGCATCAATGCATGAAAAAGAGGAATAATTTCCATTCTTTGCATATGAAAGGCAATTTCTGTCGTGGCCTTTCGCATCAGAATTAAAAACAAGAAGAACAAATCACTCTTCTCGAGGCCTTCCCAGGGTTTTATTTAATGTGACATCCCATTTATGGCTTGTTGCAACGTATCATCTTAATATCAATTATCATCTTAATATCAATATCATGATAGGAATTGTACTGCTATCATGTAAAATATATATAGCAGTATATATGCATGCATATATAAAATATGAGTCCAGATATTTCTTCTTGCCAAATCTCCTTTATATCTCCACAAGCTCTTTCGCCATTCAACGGCTCTTCAGGTGTACAATGAAAGCTAAGCCTTAGCTTTCATTGTACACCTGGAGCTGTTGTACGGCGAAAGATCTTGTGCAGATATAAAGGAGATTTGGCAAGTAGATATATGGACTCATATTTTATATATTTATTGCGTAAACACCTACAGAAATCGATTTTTTTACACACACACACACACGCACACATACAAACACACACACATACATATATATATGGCGATGCACAGATAATGATGCTGTTGTGTAATGAAACATTGCTGAAGGTACAACAAAAGCAACAGGGAATAAATCCAAATGACTGAAGATGATCTTTAGAATCTTCACACAATAACATTATGCTTACAAATGTGCAGGCGGACGTGAATTCCCCAGCGTATCAGACAGGAGTAATCTGCCTTACACTGAGGCTGTGCTGCACGAGAGTATGAGGTTGCATTCTGTGGTACCAAGTGGAATTCCCCACAAAACACTGTGTGATACCAAAGTCGGTAGGTCTCTTTCCCGGGATACCTGCAGATCAATATTCTGTTTGTAACTTATAAATCTACTTTTTGAAACTTTCAACGGAGAAAAAATTAGGAACATTCATTTTTTTGTTTGGGCATTCTTATTATCTTACGTGCAAAGTTCACATTTCAGCGGGGAAAAAACATGTCACAAGTTTACAAGTTGTCAATACCTGCTACAATATTTTTTCAGTCTTATTTCGTGATAATGGCAGGTGGATGTAATTGTAAACTATTTTGCTTTTTAAATATTATATATTAGATAACTGCCCTTTTAAGAAACGAAACATGCTAGTAATTTAACTGGTTGTTGGCCATCAACGCCTAAGAACGTATGTCAAATATTAATTTTTCAGGTGGTTATGACATTCCAAAAGGAACTCCCGTGATCATCAACCACTACGCGCTGCATCATGATCCAGAGCAATGGGGTGACCCGCATACATTCAATCCAGATCGGTTCCTTGACCAGAATGGCAAGATGGCTGCCAAACCAGAGAGCTGGCTTCCGTTCTCCGCGGGGAGAAGAGTGTGTCTCGGAGAGAGCGTGGCCAAGCAAGAACTGCATCTTCTGCTGGCTGGAATCATGAGGCATTTCAAAGTGTCCCTCCCACTTGGAGCTAAGGTGAACACAGAACCACGTGGAGGATCTTTGGCAAACATACCTCAGGATTATGAACTCACCTTTGAATCGAAAGTATAGCTGATATTTCTCATGTGATTGATGTGTAATAACAGGAACACAATTGTATGACGGTCTTATTCATACATATATTCTAGCACAATCAGTGGTAAGTATCCAACGTCAAAATGAATGCGATAATGCAATTTTGAGTTGCAGTTTGCAATATTCCAGATACTTGTTATCAGCCTGATAGGCACACAAACAGATGCTCAATATTCCATTCATTCCTGAGGGACCTTAAGATTCTGGGTCCTTAATGCAAAGATCCAACTTGTGACACATCTGATGACTTAACTGTACATTTGAAGACAAATGGTCTTTTAACCGAGGACCTTCTGTGACATTCGAGGAACCGCAGTCAAATCAGTCTCGTTGATATTGCTAAGATAGTTAACTTATGCAGAATAACATACAACTGGGAACATATGAATGAATGTCCCAAATGTCTCTGACGACAAGTTACGAATCTTTGATGATAACTAATATATAAACCGGGTTTCACATGCAAGATAAGTTCTATTCACTACACATTTGTTGTATTCAAGATGGTGTTAATATTGATAATGTGGTACATACACTTTCAATAATCAATTGGTATACCACTCACATTTACAAAATATTATTGTTCAAATCTAAGGGTGTTTTTTTTAAAAAGTGTAAATGTTTATAAAGAGAATGTGCTTTATCTGATAAATACACCTTCGTATTCTGTACTGTACTGTGTATATGACACTTATCAGCTCATTGCCTTTATATACCCAAGACGTCATAACATATATATCCTGCGGTCTTGTGCCTAAAAGTTCTGAATAAAGAATTTTCAAAAAACCTTTCTGCTTTTGGAATGTGGTGGGACCAAACGTAATGGTCATGGATACGCAATTTGTGGTGTGTTATCTGAAATGGTGAGTAAATAAGTATAGTTTTACGCCGCTTTTGGCAATATTCCAGCAATTTCACGGCTGGGGACCGCAGAAATTGGTTTCACACTTTGTACCCATCATGGGAATCAAAGCGAGTCTTCGCCGTGACTAGTGAACGCTTTAACCACTTGGCTACGGCACCGCCTCTATCTGAAATAGGGGGAAATAAGGCTTTTAGTTTAAATATCTCATGATCATAGCAAGGACTTTGACAGTTTTGGTGGAGTGGGAAGGACCGGAGCCCATCCCCAGGTGACCAGTCGAGCAAGTACAAACAGTTAACAGCTCCAATATCTTGAAAACTAATTAAAGTGAAGTCCAAGATTCTTATGAAATTTCATATGGATGACATTTTGGTCTTTAGCTTAAAATACCCGTGACGGTCCGGGTTAGAATTGATCTTCAGTGAGTGAGTGTGAGAGAGTTTATGTTTACGCCGCACTCAGCAATATTCCAGCTATATGGCGGCGGTCTGTAATAAATCGAGGCTGGACCAGACAATCCAGTGATCAACAGCATGAGCATCGATCTGCGGAATTGGGAACCGATGACATGTGTCACCCAAGTCATAAATGGTACTTTAAATATGGTAACTCTTAACTCACTCACTCACTCACTCACCCAAGTCAGCGAGCCTGACAACCCGATCCTGTTAGTCGCCTCTTACGAGAAGCATGGGTTACTGATGATCAATAATCTAACCCGGACCTTCACGACTTCATGCTTGTCGTAGTTGGCGACTAACGGGATCGGGTGGGCAAGCTCGCTGACTGGGTTGACACATGTCATCGTATCCAAATTGCGTAGATCGATGTTCATGCTGTTGATCCCTGGATCATCTATACATTAGAGAGTTAAAAACTACGAGAGTTACCTACTCCTGGATAAGCAGCTAGTCTTGGAATAAACCTGTGAAGTTGACCCGCGTCTTTGTGTTTAGAAGACACATAACATGGTGTCGTTGAGAAGCGATCCTTCAGTCGGCGCTATTACTGGACAGTAGAATTGACATCACAACTTTCAACACCGACGGAGATTCACTGAGGTGGTGGTCGTGATCTTTATTCACAAATTTATAGTCGTTCTTTTCCCCAGAGATCGCCTCCGTGGTGTAGTGGTTAGAGCGTCCGCCCGGAGAGCGGAAGGTCGCAGGTTCAATGCCGGACCGCGTCATACCAAAAGACGTTAAAATATTGTACTTGTTGGTGCCTGCCTGGCGCTCGGCATTAATGGGTACAACAAGGACTGGTCGGCTCGGGTATAATGTGTCTGAGTGGGGTATTCATGCTTCACTACGGCATGGTATCTCAGTGGGCTAGCACTATAAAACCAGCTTAAGTCTGGGCTAGTACAAGCAGCCGCACATACATAAACACGCATGCACGTTGTCATATGAACGAAATATTTTCAAGCACGACGTAAAACCCAATTTCACCTCACCTCACCTCACCTTTCCCCAGACTTGATCTCACAACACGAGCGGCCAGCTTAGGAACGAAAGCGACCACCAGTTATAGACGTGAGAGTTACCCCTTTAGCACGGTGAATTAACTGACTCTCCAAGCACTGTTATTCACTGGATCTGTGATGAAATTAGGATACCTTTTTGTGAACATTAAATCTACGTTTGAATGTAATAATCCTTCCTTTTCAGTAAAAAAAAAAACGTTCATTAGTAATTGTGAGGTAGCAGGCATGCTCTCTCGCCAGTGGAGCTATTGAACTATGTACTAACACTGACTTTGTGTCTGCTATTGTGTCCGAAAGAAAAACGGTAATCTATATATTCATGATTTGAAGTATCTTAATTCTTATTGTAGTGTTTCAACTTTTAGAAATGAAGATATCAGAGACATTGCAGATTGTATTAAACAAACAGATTATACTGTTACTCTTGATGTTAAAAATGGTTGTCATCATGTCCCTGTAGAAGAAGAAGTTTATTTGAGTGTGAAGGTCATCGGCCCCTGTACCACATTTGCCTGTTCACCGTGATGACCGTGACTATTTAGCTTTTACATGGAATGGATGAATTATTACATGGAGTGTTTTACCATATGGGTTAAGTAAAAATCTAAAATACTTCAACTATTGAGGACGATACAATATAAAAACAGGCTATATAGCGGTATTTCAGCTATATAGTGACTATGAGCGTTGTATATAAAAAATAAACAAACAAAATAAATATCTGTCAACGAAGGACAGTAAAATATCTAGATTATCACAGTTGTAAACTTGAACCTCGCCAACAACTGAAGGTAGATCACCATACTAGGGACCCTGGGGACTTACAGTACCTTTGCTACCTGCATGGACCCTAGTTGGATTTCAGCGTATTAAGAGAGACATACCTACAACTTCACACAAACAAACTGTTACAGCTCGATGTTTAGCCCGTGTCTGTGGGCAGTGTGTGTTAGTCTCATGGGCAGTTGGTCAAGGTAAATTATTTCTTAAAGCTAGTTAAAGGCTACTTAGTACCCGTGAAACTACATGGACAGAACTTCTAGTCAGCGCCCTTCACATAATGCAGTTTTCTTGACTCTTCGCAAACCTTTTAATGCACTTGATTCTAGTGGTATTTTTCGCATTATGGAGATGTTATAAGGTAGTGAGTGAGTGAATTCAGTTTTACCCCGTACTAAGCAATATTCCAGCTATATGGCGGCGGTTTGTAAATAATCGAGTCTGGACCAGACAATCCAGTGATCAACAGCATGAGCATCGATCTGCGTAATTGGGAACCGATGACATGTGTCTGGTATAAGGAAGAACGGACTGCTGGAGCTACAGTTGCAGTTTATAAGGGTATTGACCCTCATGTTGTGTAGATGATTGGTCGCTGGAAGTCGGGGGATGCCGTCTAAAGACATTGTGTTCACTCGAGAATATGTAATTGATATTTCATATTCAAATGGATTTTTGTAAAACTTGTTTTAGTTGTGTCAAGACTAGTCTTAAATGAGGCAAGTTTCACTAAAGTGTAATCACGTGACCAGTCATGTGACTGTAGCAACAGGTGTCGCTATCTTCAGTCTAGCTCAGTGTAGTGTTTCAATATGGAGGAGTTATCTCCCTTTATATGTTGATTGTGAGTCGGAGTACGTTGAGTTGAAATTAGGCATTTTCAAAAAATATATTATGTAATCGTTATTTGAAATACATTTTGTGTAAAATATATTTTTTGTGGGTCATAACTGGTCACAATTGGTGTACGTTTCACTAAATATATAACCTACAAAGACGTAAAGATATCTGATATTGATCAGGTTAAAACTGCGCCATACAGCTGTCCTCCTTTCTTTGAACTTTGGAAACAGGTGTCACGCCAACATCTGACACCCCAGTCACAATCTTCCAATTTTGTTCAATCGATAAATTGAATATTCGATACATCTGTATCCGATATCTAATCTATTCTTTATTTTACGTTTAACGTGTTTAAATCCAGCTTGAGTGAGTTACTTTGAATTACTGTAAAATAACTCAACTATCGTTGTTTTACACCTAGTATGAAACCATAAAGTATATTGTCATGTGTGACAGTACAATCTAAAAACAGGCTATAGATCGCAAGCAGCTAAAGGGAGATCACCATACTAGGGACCATGGGGACTTACAATGCCATTGCAACCTGCATGGATCCAAGCTGGAGTTACCACATTCCTTCAGACACTGATAATGAATAAATGGATAGTTTCCTTTGGCGAGGTTGACATGAATTCAACAGTAGTCAGGTGTCAACAGTTAACCTTTCGCTCTTTTTAATGAACTAAATAATGTGTGTGTTTGCATGTCTGTGTCTGTGTATGTATATGTGTATGTATGTATGTGTGTGTGTGTGTGTGTGTGTGTGTGTGTGTGTGTGTGTGTGTTTGCGTGAGTAGCCTTAAAGTACATGTCTTTATCATATATTAGGGTTCTATATTGTTTTTCAATTTCTTTGTGTAATCTGTTGGATTTGGAATTACGTGTACAAAAGAAATATAATTGTGTCGGAAATCTCGTTTTCTTCTCAATTCGCGTGTCGGCTCGGGTGAATGCACTGAGCAAAGGCTGATGCCAAAGAAGACTACATGCTACATTAGTGAGTGAGTGAGTTAAGACTTACAGTCACATCGGCAATATTTCAGCCACATCGTGACCTAAAAAGTTTTAAATTTATAATAAATGGAATTAAATTACAAAAAACTTTCGACGAAGGACAGTAAAATAACTAGATCATCACAGATAGAAACTTAAAACAAGTAATCAAAATTAAAACATTTTAACTATAGAGGACACCACAATATAAAAGCAGGCTATATATTGCCAACAACTGAAGGTATATCAACATCACCATGGGGACTTACAGTGCCTTTGCTACCGGCATGGACCCTCGTCGGATTTACACCATCCCTTCAGATGTTAGCAATTTTGACAATCTAGCCGTAAATTCAAATAACATACATACTGCAGTTAAAAATAATAGTATGTTTAAATTCATTTGAATTGTTTTGGGACTTACGTACCCTCTCAGGAGGACAATAATTTTACAGTACTTTAATCCCCTTCGACGATACAACCACTAACAATCTCGGTAATTAATTTAAACTACCAATCATGAAACATTTATCTATTTACACAACATTAATCAACTTTTATCTGACAACTCTATTTCTTTTTACAAAAATCAATTATTAAATGATAATTAATACTATAACAATGATGCTTTATTGTTTTGAGACTAAAATATATTTCATCCCTTGTGATGGAAAAATCAATACAGTCAAGCAGGACATGCTTGACTGTGATTCTCTCATCACAAGGGATACAAAACGGAGGATCCTCACCTTTTAATAAGTATTCATGTGTATATCGCGTATTGACAATGCAACATCGTCGCATAATGACCTCCTCAAATCTGGACTGACAACCCAAGTAGGTGTAACCGATAGTTGGTTTAATTTCATGTAATTTATTTATACCTACTTGGGTGTCCCACTTCTTTTGCATTAGATCACGGATATATGCTCTAATGACAGCTTTGTAATCAGAGTAAGGGATGAGAGGTGGTGTCATAGATTTGTTGAGTGTTCCATTAGAACCAAAATCGGCCTTTGTGTTACCAGAAATTCCAACATGGCTGGGTAACCAAAAGAGGACGATGTCGTATTGGCCAGTAGCATGGTCATTATATAATTTCAATTAAAAGTGGATGTTTGCAAGAAAGATTTTAATAGCCTGAAGGCATGAAAGAGAGTGTGAAGAAAGTATATATTGTTTATAATATATTATATATAAGGGCATATATATATATATCGGATATAAACGGAGACAACGGCCCCGTAATCCAAAATCATGTAAATCTATTAAAAATTCCTTGTTTCCATGTCGTGTCCTAAATGGTCAATGGTACTGCGAGTTTTACGCAAACCACATTGAATATTTGTGATTAAATAAGTACCTAAGTACCAAGTTAGTCTGTTATTGACCATGCGTTCCATGGTTTTGCAATCGCAGCTAGTTAGGGAAATGGGCCTATAATTAGAGGGATCTGTATGATCACCTCCAGGTGTAGGTATGGGTACAACAATGGCATCACCCCAGGATGAGGAAATTTGTCCAAATATCATCAACTATTTAATAGTGTCTCTAAATAGGATTCAGGTAAGTGTGTCAGGAGTTGATAATGAATGTTGTCAGTTCCTGTGGCAGTATTGTGAGCTTGTTCAAGAGCAGTATGAAGCTCATGGATAGAAAAAAATGCGTTATAGTCTTCCCCATTATCCGAATGAAAATTGATTTGTTTCTTTTCTTGCAATCTTTTGGTATGTTTGAAAATTAGGAACATAGTTTGACGAGGAAGATTGTTTTGCAGTTGTTTCACCCACTTTATTTGCGATGTCAGATTTATCTGTTAACAACTGGTGCCCAATTTTGAGATGACGTATGCTAGATTTGGTACCCTTACCTTTGATTCTCTGGATCATGTTTTGAATTCTCAGTCATAAGGGATAAATATTTCAATGTGAAAACAGTTATGGATCTTTTTATCACGGTTAGTTTTCATTTAATTATTGCTTTTTTAAAAGAAATTGATTTAAATGATGAATTTTGAATATGTTCTGTAGATAGATGTATTTTAATGATTGGTAGTTTAGGTTAGTAACTTAGATTGTTAGTGGCTGTACCCTCAAAGGGAGTTAAAGTACTGTAAAATTATTGTCCTCCTGTGAGGGTACGTAAGTCCCGAAACATTTAAAGTAAATTTGAACTTACCAGATGCTTTAAACGTAGTGTTTTGTGATTTTAAATTATGGCTAAATTCTACTACAATCGCAAGTGGCTGAAGGGATGATGTAAATCCAGTTGTTGGTGATCTATAGCCCATTTTTACATTGTATTGTCCAAAAATAATTTTCTACCTAGATATATGCTAGATAGTTTTAACTCATTTGGTGACAATCCTTCGGCTGTCCTTCGTTGACAGGGCTTTATGTATTATAAATCTGTATTATGAATTTAGAACTAGTTTTAATCCCGATATGGCTGAAATGTTGCCGATGTGTCTTTAAATCTTAACTCACTCACTCACTCACCCTGGATCATGTTCCATACCTTGAATATCGGCGTCCAAGAATGCGTTTTCGAAATGTAATTTTGCCAAGATTGGCACTTGTTTTGCTTAAATGTACGCCGTGCTTTAGCATTTATATTTTTTTATTTATTTAAATTATGCAACTTTGGATGGCGACGGAAATAGTGTTTAGCTTTTTCCCCCGTGTTTTCCTAGCTTGCTTGCAATCATTATTAAACCATGGTTTACGTTTATGTGGCTTTGTAGAGGACTTAAGAATACACTCATCGGCTATTTTGTTGAGCTCATCAGAGAATAGTTGCACTGACTCAAGAGCATCAATAAAACGAGCTGGATTTAGTTTGTCGGTACAGAGTAACTCGAACAAAAAGGCCAGTTAGCTTTGCTGAAGTTCCATCTTGATGATGGTGCAACATCAAGTGCAGTTATTGGTAATGGTCGCTGCCATACAGGTGGCTATGGACTGACCATTCAAATTCATTTAACGAATCTGTCTGAGTGATTGATAAATCAGAGAAAAACATGTGCCTCTGCCAGGATGTAGGTATGTTTTCGAATTATTGTTAAATATACACAGGTCGTTGTTTGAAATAAACTCTTCTAGTATCTTCCCATTTCTGTATGAATCCGAACTACCCCAACATGGATTATGGCCGTTCACGTCACCCATATGATAAATGGCTTCGGCAGCTGGTCACAAAGAGCCTGCAGATCAGTTTGGAGAAGAGTGGATGATGGTGCACATACAGTGAGCGTAAAGTAAAACAATATTTAAAGTCAACCTGACAGCAACAGCCTGAAGTGTTGTATTTAGGGGAACAGGTGTGTGTATAACACCCTGTCGCATGAAAATTGAAGATCCTCCAGTAGCTGGAGGAGAAAAGAGTGAGTGAGTTAATATTTAACGTCACATCGGCAATATTTCAGCCATATCGTGACGAGAACATTTGATATTGAAATTAAATATATGTATATTATAAAAAACCTGCCGACGAAGGACAGTAAAAAAACTAGAATATCACAGATATGTATGTAAAACTAGTAATTAAATCTAAAACGTTTTAACTATAGGGGAAAAACAATACAGTATAAAATGGGCTATAAATCGCCAATAACTGAAGGTAGATCACCATACCAGGGACCATGGGGACTTACATTACTTTTGCTACCTGCATGGACCCTAGTTGGATCGGAGGAGAAAACAAGTAATATGAAGTATACTTCCCAATATCAAATTGATCTGTGGCTTTATAATAAGTTTCCTGGAAACAAAATGCCGATGGTTTGAAATCTTGTATTAGTAGTTGTAAATCATAAGAATTATTCTTTAGTCCTCTACAATTCCAATGAACAATGTTAATTGAGCCGCTCATGGAGGAGAACGTGGGTTGGGTGGGATCTACTCCCAGGGACTGGGTTAGAGGGATTGACCTCCATCTCCAAAGGTTCAAATTGATTTTGAACCTTTGAGGGGACGACTGAGAAGAAGGCACCTCCAAATGTTGGAGGGCCCTGGTCCTTCTTCTCGATTGTTTCTTTTCATTGTTCTCATTTGTGGATGATTTATTTTGTTGTGATGTATCTGTGGCACATTCTGGTTCAGATCTGCTTAAGGCAGCGATGTGACAGTCTGTCTGGGAGGCCGATGTAGAAACACTGGAGATGCCCATTTGAGATGCTACATTAGGTGACGTCACCTCAAGTGTTGTAATTGGAGCGCTATAACTAGTTATATGTTAGTAGTTATATGTTAGTAGTTTAAAGTGAAAAATTGAACAGATAGTTAATTCGTTACAGTATTTACATGTACTGTGTCCTGCCATGACCGTTGATCAAGTAATTTGCTGTAATGCATCATATCACCTGTAGCGGGGTTCGAATCCCAGATTTGTCCTTATTAGGAACTTTAGCTTGTCAGCACTACATCCGTGCTCGTGTAATTTTAAAAAGTGTTTAATCAGCAAAATGCTACAGTGTCATTACCAAAATTATGCGGACAATCTGATAACATTTTGTTGTGAATTGTGGCTGTATCGACAGCGTGTGATTTGCAACCAGAACAAATAGTGTTCATCTCAATCTTCAAACTGATATGTGTGTCGTGTTTTATCAGGAATACTGTTCAAAGCGCCGGGGAAAAGGACTTAGCATCAAATATACAATTGCATTTTGAACAAATCATCATTTAGTTCCCCAAATCTACGTGCATACATCGCTGATGACTGATAAAAAAACAACGATCATGGTCAGTGCAAGCACGTTTATTGCTATTTAGATACACGTAGACATGGTTACACAAGTACAGTCAATTGATAACTCGGTATCCGTTAGCGATCTGAAAAGAAAAATGAACATTTGACGTCAAGGGCGTTTATTCTGTATTCTGTGCCTAGATCAAATAAGTAATCTGCTAAATAATTAATTTCCAATTTGACGTACCTTGTGAAATTTACATGCATTGGACAAGCTGATATGTTTTTAGTTCCACAGCCTTGATTTACTCCAGTTTATATAACATACATTTGGTGCTCAGTACTCTTTCCGGATCAGAGTAAACTGTTATACTTGAGAAAATAGTTCTTTGACTTCCGAAGTTTCAACTGTAACAGAAGCTATACCCACCTTCCTCGAATAAGGCTCAACTGAAACAGGGAGAGACAAAAAGAAAATTCAGAATAATTCTACAAGTCCGAAAAATGAAGAACGTACCTCCATCAGCCATGAATATAAACTGAACAGCAATAAAAACGCAACTCAGAATTCATGAAAATTATACTTTTCCAGCAATAGTTTGAATTTGATCAATGGAATAAATTGTTTTGATTTCTTGAATTGCGTTTCATTTGCTGGCCAGTATACATGTATTTGTGGCGTTGTTATTATGGCCGAGGTGAGCATGGCCTCACTTCGGTGATTGGGAATTCGAATTCAGCGTGTCGAGAAGGTTTTTGGTAACCTCTACACACTCATTGTGTCAATGTCTGGAAGCGCCTGGATGTGCACATAGTCATGTAATGCCATTTGAGGTTATTGCACGATGTTAAGGTCATTTGAGTCCCACTCGTATTCATGTCCTCCTCATACTACTTACAAATGTGTCCTGCCATGAGTCAAGCACTTCAAAAATACACACTTTATGACTGATTGCTCGTATAGATATTATCTGTATTAAAATTAGCTGGCCACACATGTCAAAAAAATGTTGTGTCTTCACGTTTCAAGCTACTTTCTGTGATTTTATATGACACCGTCAATGTCACATATAATTTAGTAAAACAGCTAACTTGCCAATATTCCAGGGAACAACATGAATATTACATGTGTTGAGATTACTAAACGTTTGAAACTTTACAGACGCTACGCAAGTATGAATATGTTTTAATGTCTAGTTGTATCTTCAAAAACTAATTAAATTCTTTCACCTCATTCTCAGATATGTCACATATTAACATCAGTAACTTGGAACTTACAGATGGAATTGTCGTTCTACCGCAGTATTTACATGTTTAATAGAATAACTTTTGTCTTTTGGATATTTTCTGTCATTATTTAATACCCAGTTTATCACATATTTGGCCAGCATACTTACAGCCATTTGCGACTAAAATGTATTTTTGATGACTATGTTTGCTCTTTTAATGTGCTATTGGATACTCTCACTGTATACAAACAAAAAAGAAAATTAGGAAAAAATGACTTATAAGATCAAAATTTAGAAAATATAAACTATTCTTGATAAAGAATATATATCATTCTAGCACGACATTGTATGATACTCGATTCTGATTAGCTGAGAGCTCATCAAAATCGTACTTAAATAGCAGTTTAAGACCGCTAATTAAAGTGACCGATTCACCGCGTATGAATACAACGAACTCGCTGACCCTATTGCTTGTAAACAAACATGTCGGACATCGACAATGTTTACCTCGGCAGCATCTTTGGTGTTCTTGAAGTAAAAAGCGAATGGTTTGAAGGCGAATTTCTTTACCCTCATCCCAGTGAAGAAACTACGAAACTGGAAAATCCGTCAGTAGCGCAAAAGCGGCAGTATAGTGAAACCGGGTCTAGATCTAGCGGGCATGACATCGACAACACACGTCCTAACCTGACTGCTTCCGACCCGGCCGGTAATGCCCAGTCCTTCCACTTCCACTGTCCATGTATCCCACATAAAACATGGCATTTCAGGTCTTTTGAAAAAATGGCATAGCAGGGTGGTTATCAACAATTATTTCCGTGAATAAAGTTAGCGGCGACTAAACTGAGCGAGTTCACGGCTTGGATTGGGGCGAATCTATTGTCATACAGTAGGGGCGGTCAATAATTCGCTTGAGAAAAATCAAATAATTGTACTTGCTGACAGTATAAACTGTATTTTTTTTAATTTATGTATGCTAATTGTTATCAATACAAGCATACTGGTTCTTGAAATAAAGCATTTATGTTGCTGAAAATGTCTTATTTTGTTCATTGCACAACCTGTCCCTCAACGGGACGATTCCAGGCGATTTCCAGGAAAAAGGTCTCTTCACGCCCTGTGTTCTTGCGCGCCAAACAGTTCGGTTTTAAAAGGCTTATCAGTCGTGCTACAGTGAAGATAAAGCTACTCTGTTTTCAAGTTTGCTGTCCTTTATCGTTGATTTAAGACCGCTAAATGTAATTTAACAAGAGTCATCAGAAGATGACATATGCCCCCCAGCCCCCACATCTTGGAAAGACCGAAATCATCTGACAGTTACTAGTCGAGCTTGATTTTAGACTAAGTGCAAATCGTTCCATGGAAATCGTGGAAAAAATAAATGACAAATATCTGCAAATAGCAAAAGGCACCACTTCAAGATCTGCCTCACATATCTGCCAAGTTTTACTGAAAGATATTAAGAAGTTTTTGAGTTGTGCTCCGGAAACAAAACCTACCCTCCCTTTTGGGATTAAGTCCGAATTGTTTCCATGAAAACCGGGAAAAATAAAAATGCCCAAAATCTGCAAATAGCAAAAGGCACCACTTAAGGTTCTGTTTGATATATCTACCAAGTTTTGTTGAAAAATATTGAACGGTTCTTGAGTTATGCTCTGGAAACGAAGCCCCCTCCTCACTTTTGGGACTAAGTCCGAATAGTTTCCATGGAAACCGGGAAAAATAAAAATGCGAAAAATCTGTAAATAGCAAAAGGCACCACTTAAGGGTCTGTTTTATATATCTACCAAGTTTTGTTGAAAAATATTGAACGGTTCTTGAGTTATGCTCCGGAAACGAAGCCCACCCTTCTTTAAAACTAAGTCAAAAACGTTTCCATGGAAACCGAGAAAAATATAAATGACAATCATCTGTAAATAGCAAAAGGCACAACTTAAGGTTCTGTTTGACATATCTACCAATTTTTGTTGAAAAATATCGAACGGTCTTTGAGTTACGCTCCGGAAACAAAATGATTACGGACGGACAGACGGACGAGGCGACGACTATTACATGCCGGTGGGATAAAAATCGAACGCGTTAGCTTTATCTTCTAATTGTCGTTTGATTATAGTGGTCTTGTTGTAATTTCAAGCCAACCTTATCGTGTTAACAGGTATATTTAACATTTCATACCATCTTCGAGGGTCCAGCAGAAGCGACGGACATGATGTTGCGATATTCAGAGTGTATTGCAAGTTCTGAACCAAACTAGATTCGGTAGAGTTGTAAATTTCAATATATCTGAAACAGAAAGTGTTATTAAGTGAAACAGTAGATTTGTTTTCATAAAGAAGTGATTGAGACAACTTGTGATTCTGTTGTGTCACGTGTTCCTTTGATCAATACATTTATGCTCATTGCAATATCGCACACAATTAAGTAAGCTTCGTGAGACCTTGACGATTGAAAAAGGTTATCTGTCAGGAAAGTGATCACATGTAAAGGATTGTGTGTACAAAAACATCACAAGTCATCATCAGCGTACTAAACATCAATACATCGTTCAGAATAGCAACAGTATCATCGCCATTTTATACCTATTAATCAATAGTACAATTACAAGTGTATGTACTATAATCACCAAAACCTTCAAGGTGGTATTTTCCTTGGATGGGACGTGCTCCATCAAGACTACACATAAGGCAATATATAGAAACACGAGAAGTTCACACGTGACTTCCCACTTTCAAATGGGACACGGGTGGATCAGTTCAGTCTGCTTTCCGATGATTCTTGACCACGCATGAATCAACGGAACAAACACTTTTTAAAGCGAAGAGATTATCTGGGGGACATTGCAACCTGGTTCGGCATCTGATATAGTGTAACCAGTGAGTGAGTTTAATATTGTAGTCACAGTGGCAGTATTTCAGCCATATCGTGACTTAAACTAGTTATAAATTCATGATAAAAGCGCAAATTCTAAAAACCAGTAAAACAACAAGTATATCACAGTAATAAGAAATAAGCCTAGCATAAATCTCTAAAATAGGATTTCAAATTAGGATAATACAATATAAAAAAGGGCTGAGGATCGCCAACAACTAAAGGTAGATCACCACTCTAGGGACCATGGGGACTTACAGTACTTTGGCTACCTGCATAGACCCTAGCTGAATTTATACCATAGCTTCAGCAACTAGCGATTGTACCGATATTTAGCCATAATAAAACAACAAATATTCTACAATTAAAAAGATTAGTAGAGCTAAATTGAATAGGACAGTTTTTTTACTTCCCTGCCGTCTCAGGAGGACAATCATTTTACAGTACTTTAACCCCCCTTCGAGGATACAGCCACTAACTATCTGAGTTGCTAATTTATTCTACCGATTATGAAATATCATTTATCTATTCACTAAACATATAAATCACAATTTATCAGTCAACTCTATTTCTTTTAAAAACTCAGTGATTAAATGATAATTAATTTTATTTAAAAAGGTTCTTCACAGTTTTGACATTGAAATCTATATCCCTTGTGATAGAAAAATTATCCTGTAATCAACATTGTATCGTTATATACTTAAATACATCGACAGAAGGAACTAACGAGCTGTGTGAAATGTCTGACTATTCAAATTATGGTAAGAAGTCTGCATGCTAACAGTCTCTATCCAATTCCTTTCAGTACTTCTTGACGTTCCGAAGGCTTTGCCAATAAGACATTCGAATCGTAAAATACAGGCATGAGTTGAGCTGAACAAAGAATTTAAACATAGACTGCTAAAATGACACCTATGTATGTGCTGTCATCTTGTAAGTGAGCCAAAGATGGCATGCATTTAATCTTATGTAGCTTCTAAGGTTTACTTACTGAACGTTCCTGAGCGCGACGTAGACAAGGCCATCACAAACGCGCAGTGCGATATCCCCACAATGGTCACCATTAGCGGTGGGCTCTTTCAGCTGCCGGAACAGTCGATCTGTTGGACTATACGTCCATACAGACCCAGACTCTTCACAGAACACGACCATACCTGTACCAGAGACAAATATAACTTAGGTAACTTAATCTACTGAGTGATCGGGACAAACATTGGGCTAAACTACAAAGAAGATCAATATACTATTTGGGGATGTTAGTTCTGGTTGTAACTTTCCTCTTTTTCGGACTTAACTACGTATATAATCATGTTCCGGGCTGAAAATATGTAACGTGGTGTCAACATTTCTTTCCTTGGAGATTTATAGCAGTCATTATTAAATTCATCCTACTTACCATCATCCTGAACTACAAATGCAATGAGTTCTAAAGACCACACTACAACATTAGTCCAGGACGTTTCACCTGCCATGATCCGCAGAAGACTCTGACCATCATTCATATACAAGGTGCTGAAAGAGGAAAAGAGTAATTCCCGTGAGTTGTACGTTTGCACATTTAGGACGGCGAACAGAGAAACAATCCCAATTACGTATTGTAACAAACACATAAGTATCACTGAAGTCTTGCGTTACTAGAGATTAACAGAAGTAACTACCGCAAGTTGAGAGGCGATTACAACGAACTTGTTCCCAATGCCACACGCCATGGAGGTTAACACTACAACTTTCTTCGCTGCATAAGCCTTTCTTTCGCTGTACAAACTGCGCCTTTACACAAGAATCAGATTACCAGTCCATGGGTTGACAGATTGCTCACTACAATTTGGATGAACCCTATGCGGTTCGAAATTTTGGATACAATGCAAAGCGATTTGAAGGAACGGCACATAACTCTCATTTGGAGAGAACCCATACAGAGAAACTCTAAACTGATGTTCCTGGAAGTTTCGCTATTGACAGACCCTAAAGACTTCATAAAATGCAGAAGGCTTCTGAAGACTATGAATGTTTGTGACTTTGTTCCCTGGCGGTCCGGCAGTGACTACTCAGTACTGAACCCACCTGGGTGGTGTTTCAGCTGTATATTCATTAATCTGATCCCTGTCGGGGTATGTTACCTTCTACTTTGTTATAGTAGTAGCTGTGTTTCTCAAAATAGGAAACATGTTATTATGCCACGTAATGGTGTATATGTACAGTAAATGGTCAACCAAAGCAAATATATGATGCGCCGCCCTGTCGTAAATAAAATATAAAACCCAACGACGGTTAAATGTGCGGTATTTGCTTAGTATTGACATCATCCAAACATTGTTTACAAGAAATCTAATTTCACATTTGCCTTCATGTGAATATTATATACATACCTTTCAGATACGAAAAGCCTCCCGGTAATGCCATCATACGGGAAGAGAAATCTGATTTGTGGAAAGCTGGTCCTGTTGAAGGCATACACTCCATTGAATGAGCTGTTGTCAAAGGTCAGAGCTACATACACTTCGTTCGTTGGCTCAAAGTAAGCAATACCAGTTCCCTCTGCTGTCATTGATAATGGATCATCTGTGAACACAATCATACATACCTGTTAAACGCCATACACTTGCTTAGTAGTGACGATATGGCTGAAATATTGCCGATGTGACTTAAAATCTTAACTCACTCAGTCACTCATACACTTGCTGTGAAGAAAGGTGAAATAAATAAGCTTTATTTTAAAGTTTTATCTGGTTTTTTATCTGGCTCGTCGGTCTCACATTGCTGTACTAGGTATGACTGGGTAAAGCTGCACATTTTGTACAACCCAAGATGAGGAAAAGGCAATAACTGTTTGTAAAATATAAAGGGAACATGTAGTTTTCTGCAATGATGTAAAGGTGCTTAGCTTATTTGTTTGAGTGGTGCTAAAGTATTTCAAAGATGTAGCCACAATGTTTGAAAGACCCAATCTCCATGTTTTGTAGATATATGTATATAAGACATGTTACAATTGGCATTGCACTTTCTCAGTAAAGTACATCTGTTGGGTTGAATCCAAATCCGTGATTCAAACCCGCTCTCGGAGTCAGCACAATCAGCCGTCTACATCGCTACATATTTTATACTCGGAGGTAGGTCCAGCTCCACGCAATCGTCACTTATGTGCAACGCACAGCAGAGTCCGTCTGAAATTAACTTGGCACCACGCAGGTTATTGTTACACCACACGATTCAACATCAATCTAAAATACAAAACAAACCTGACATTCATAACCCAACGAGATTTTTCACCACCACACTCCAGTCTACACATGATCACTGGTAAGTATTGCTAAACGAGCGAATTGTGTGTTTTGGGCTGCTTAAATTGGTGCCTCTGAAACATCATGCTGCAGTTTTAACATGAACAAGCATTGTCACTAAGGTGACATAATCCACCACTGCACATTATCAAATCGAACTTAAAAAGTAATGAAAGTGAAAGTCTTAGTTTAAGATGAAGTTAGATCTCAACACAAACATGACCAGTCAACCTCTCTTGATATCGTGCTCTGTAGTTGTTCAAACACACAATAAATCTCAAGACTCACTTTGACCTTGACATGAATGTCATGGTGTATGAAACATGCAAAAATACCCATAAAGAAATTGCTTATACAAAAATATTCAAGAGAAATCCTGAAAGTCTATGAAGAAAATCCAGTGAACCGTTCTTGAGATATCTTGCTGACAATCTTAACATGCAGGTTAGCATGCTTTAATCTTCACTGTGTCGCTGTGACTTTGAAAATTATGTGAAGATCACCACAATCGAATGGGCCCTGTGCCTTCCGTAGATGTAGCTTGGTGTCAGATATGAAAAAATCCAGTGAACGGTTCTCTCTCTCTCAGGGCAGACCAACTGACGTATTCGGACCACACTCAGTTAAAGGACCGAATAGAGAAACACTGCTATTAGAAGTAAAAAAATGAAGTTGATTTTAACTTACCAGTGCTGTTGCCTAATACAACCTCCATACCAGTTGGGAGACTCAGACATCGCAGCACAAACGGTTCACTTCCAAAGTAGTCAAACTCAAACGAGTCGTTATCGAAGGGTCCTAACGTCCAGTCAGTAACATTCGAAGCTAATTGGAATCCATTTTGGATGACACCATTAGGATCCACCTCAGCAACAGTCGGTGAATCACAGGCGGCCACGAACACTGCACCGGTACCTTTACGAAAAGCATAGCAACCGAATTCAATTACACAAAGTGCGCACAAACTCAAATAATCAAGAAGACCGAAAAGCAACCTAACAAATATAAAAAGACAGTCTCAATACAGTATGAGGTATATGTACAATTCAACTTGCCCTTGGGTTGATTAATTGAAGTTATTACAGTCCAACGTAATCTAAATATTTTCTGATGCCATCAAAAGTTTATTATCCCTCATTAAATTTGGTTTATAAGGTAATCAGTAAACTGTGTCCAATTCTGTGTGCAAAGGAACATCAAACTCTTATTCATCTACAGAAACTTATCGTGGGGGTGTTTTGCATATGTTGGACACATAATAAATCGTGATTCGGAATAAAACAACGAATCATTTTCATTTTGAAATTCCTGTAGCCAACAGGTCTTTAGTATTGAAAGCTTTTGAATCTTGAAGTGGCGTTTACTCAATGTTAACTTATGAGTGAGATATCGAGTTAGTTCAGGTTTATGCTATTTTAAACGTTAATCCAGTTATATCACGTGGGCAAGCTCAGCGTGTATTAAACATGGAACAGGGCAGATCCCAGACGTATAACGCTTTCTGAAACTTGATGGATGGATAAACCACTTTGTCATGGGAAACCTCGAATGAAAAGGTTCGTGCCTCTGATCTCTTCACAGGACTAGGAAATATTACGGTCGCTAAGTCAGTTTTTAGGGTAGTGCGGAGTATGATAATACGTAATGTGAACATGCCCAAAGTGAGTGAGTGAGTTAAGATTTTAAGTCACATCGGCAATATTTCAGCCATATCGTGACTAAAAGCAAGTTATAAATATATCAACAATTTAAGTGAAATTATAAAATTCTGCCAACGAAGGACAGTAAAATAACTAGATTATCACAGATATAGATATAAAACTAGTAACTAAATCTAAAACATTTGAACTATACAAGACGATACAATATAAAAACAGGCTATTGATCGCCAACAACTGAAGGTAGATCACCATACTAGGGACCATGGGGACTTACAGTACATTTGCTTCCTGCATGGACCCTAGCTGGATTTACACCATCCCTTCAGCCATTGGCGACAGAAGAGAAACCTAGCCATAAATTAAAAGTACACATATTCTACGATTAAAAACCTGGTACACTTAAATTGACTAAATGTTTTGGGACTTACATACCCTCTCAGGAGGACAATAATTTTACGCTACTTCAACCCCCTTTGAGGGTACAGCCACTAACAATATCAGTTACTAATTTAAACTACCAATAATAAAATATATATCTATTTACAAATCAGTTAGCAAGTCTAATTTTTTTAAAAAGCAATAATTAAATGAGAACTTATATGACTAAAAAGATCCTTCATAGTTTTACTTTGAAATAAATATCCCTTGTGATGGAATATTCAACACAGTCAAGCAAGACATGCTTGACCGTGATTCGTTCATCACAAGGGATACAAAACGGAGGATCCTCACCTTTCAATAGGTACTCATGCGTATATCTTGTGTGGCCAATACGACATCGTCGTATGATGACCTCTTCAAATCTGGACTGACAACCCAAGTAAGTGTAACCGATATAGGGTTTTATTGCATGTAATTTATTGATACCTACTTGGGTGTCCCACTTCTTTGCATCAGATCACGGATGTAAGATCTAATACAAGCTTTGTAATCAGAGTATGGGAGCAGAAGTGGTGTCACAGATTTGTTGAGTGCAGCCTTAGCAGCAATATCAGCCATCGTGTTCCCAGAAATGCCAACGTGGCTGGGTAACCAACAAAAGACGATGTCGCATTGGCCAGTAGCAAGCTCATTATACAATTCAATAATTTCTAATAAAAGTGGATGTTTGCAAGAAAGATTTTTATAGCCTGAAGACACGAAAGAGAATCTGAAAAGATGATATATTGTTTATATTTACGGTGTTTATTAATATATTTAAGAGCTGTTAGTATTGCGTTTGCTTCTGCTGTGAAAATTGAACTGTCATTGGGTAGTCTGGAAGATATTGTTTTGGACCCAATGACAGTGGCACAAGCAACCGCGCCACCATCCTTGGATCCATCTGTATATAAGGATTTATAGTTATTATATTTATTTCTTAATTGACTAAATTCTTGTTTATACTGTAAATCATTAGTTTCGGATTTTTAAATGTGGTTAATGTTAAGTCAACGTCTGGCCTCACCAATTGCCAAGGAGGAGAAGAAAGAAGACGAGAAGGAGATATATTCTCCAGCTCAATGCCGGCAGCAGAAAGGAATGGTTTAATTCTGTGCCCAAGAGGCGGAACAAGAGAAGGCTTTTGTTATACAAATCCTCATAAAGAGGAGTGAAGATGCAGTGAAACGCAGGATTGGACTCGTTAGAATATAGCTTCGTAATATACTGTAATGATAATTTTATACGGCGTTGGGTAAGAGAAGGCTCATCTGCCTCGACGTAGAGACTGTCAACAGGAGATGTTCTGAAGGACCCAAGACAAAGTCTCAGACCTTGATGGTGGACTGAATCTAATAGTTTTAGGTTGCTTTTGCAGGCTCCACCATAAACGATGGAGCCATAATCAAGCTTCGAGCGGACAAGTGATCTGTAAAGGTGTAGGAGCGTAGCTTGATCCCCCTCCCCACCTTGAATTAGACACGACTTTCAATAAATCAAGTGCCTTCAGGCATTTAGTTTTGAGAGATTTGATATGCGGAAGAAAAGTTAAATGGGAGTCGAAAATGAGACCTAAGAACTTGGCCTCTTTTACAACCTTGATGGGAGTGCCATTTAAAAACAGTTCTGGGTCTTTATGTGGTTTATATTTTCTACAGAAGTGTAGACAATTAGTTTTTGATTTAGAAAATTTAAAGCCGTTTTCAAGACACCATTTATTTATTTTATTTAAACACAACTGCAGTTGCCGTTCAATAGTATGCATATTCTTACCGCGACAAGAAATGTTAAAATCATCCACAAAAAGTGATCCATCTATTGAATCGTTTAAAACCTTGGATAAACTGTTGATCTTAATGCTAAATAAAGTTACGGACAAAATACTGCCTTGTGTGACACCCTGATCCTGATTGTAATGGTCAGACAGGGTAGAACCCACTCGGACTTGAAATTGCCTGTCTTTTAAAAAACGTGATATAAAAAGAGGTAAACGACCCCTTAAACCAAAATCATGTAAATCCTTTAAAATGCCATGCTTCCAGGTGGTATCGTACGCTTTCTCGAGATCAAAGAATAGCGATACTGCATGTTGTTTATTGACTATTGCATTTTTGACGAAGGACTCTAAGCGTACCAAATGATCAATGGTACTACGATTTTTCCTGAAACCACATTGGGATATTTGTTATGAGATTATTGGTTTCAAGATACCAAGTTAATCTATTATTCACCATTCTTTCCATGGTTTTACAGACACAACTCGTTAAAGAGATTGGTCTGTAATTAGACGGATCAGTATGATCCCGGCCAGGCTTTGGTATAGGGACTACAATGGCATTACGCCACGAAGGTGGGAAATTCCCTGAAGTCCATATTGTGTCAAAAATATTTAGAAGAGTTTCCAAACATGATTCCGGTAAATGCTTCAAGAGCTGATAGTGTATATTATCAGCTCCTGTTGCTGTGTCATGAGCTTGCTCAAGGGCAGTGTGGAGCTCATGTAATGAAAATAATTCATTATAATCTTCGCCATTGTCCGAGTTAAAATTTATTCTCTTCTTCTCCTGTTGTTTCTGATATTGTTGAAATTCAGGGACGTAATTGGACGAAGACGAATGTTTGGCGAGAGTTTCACCAAGCTTATTGGCAATGTCAGCCTTATCAGTTAACAAATTATCACCGTCCTTTAAATG